CATTTTTCAGACCATTCGATTTTTTTTGTGTTAGTTCTTCCTGTAGTTTTGCGGCGTCCTCATCAGATTTAATTACACGCCCTAATTTAGTGTCATCCTCAAATTTACTTATGTTGATGTCTATGCCGATATCTATGTCGTTTATGTATATAATAAATAATAATGGTCCAAGTACTGAGCCTTGGGGAACTCCACTAGTGACGTTGCCCCAATCGGATTTAGTGCCGTTAATGCTCAGTCGCTGTTTCCTGTCCTGTAACCACGCCCTAATCTATTTTAGAATATCTCCTTTAATGCCATGAGCCTCCACTTGTCTTATTAGTCTTTCGTGAGGGTTTCTGTCGAAGGCTTTACTAAAGTCGAGATATACCACATCATAATTGTGCCCCTCGTCCACTGATCCGAAAACAGATGAAAAGAATGTTAATAGATTAGTTAGCCATGAACGCCTGCTTGTGATGCCATGTTGGGAATCATTGATCAACTTGTGCTTCTCCAGGTGATTTCGACTAGAGTTTGAAATGATTGCTTCCAGTAATTTGCCTACAATTGATGTTTGACTAAGTGGACGGTAGTTAGAGGATAGTGATCTATCTCCCTTCTTGAAAATCGGTATTACATTCGCTGTTCTCCAGGATTCAGGTACTACACCCGTTTTTAAGGACCTGTTAAACAGCTTTGCTAAGGGCATACTAAGCTCTTCCTTACATTCCTTTAATACTCTGGCAAATATCTCATCGGGACCTGGTGACTTATTAGGCTTTAGTTTTTCTATTTGCTTACTAACATCGTTACTAGTCACTACTATCTCGCTTAATTTGTTTTCTTCACTATCTCTGTATAAAGTCGGTGCCTCGGGTATCATGTTTAAATTTTCGGTGGTGAAAACTGTTGAAAAATATTTATTCAGATTTTTGTTAATTTCTCCGTCGTTATCAGTTAGCTCGCCGGTATCTGACTGTATTGGTCCAATCTTTTTTCGTGTTTTAGTTTGATACATTTGATAGAATCCCTTGGGGGTTTGACTTCGCCTCCCTTGCTACCTTCAGTTCATTATTCCTCTTTGCTTTTCTTATCTCGGTCTTAACCCTACCGGCCAATACCATATAATGATCTCGGAGGTAAATTTCACCACGATTTATTCTCCTACCTACTCCTTACTCAGTGTGTTCCTGCAGAAGGTGTGGTGAAAGCATCAGGACAGAGTGGCGCCTTAGCAGTGCTCGTCTCTAGTATTTGTCTGGGCTAATCTCTCTTATCTGGTATTATCGGTGGCGGCGTGTTTCATCTGCTTCTCAAGGATGTAACCGCTTCATCTTACCTACTGACGGTGCCACGGCGGTATGTCAGGCTACGTAGTGTCAGGACATTTTTGTCAGTAGTTTTGGTTATGGCTGGTGGTCGGTAGGTCGGTCACGCCACTGTTAACTGATCAGCTGGGCTTCGGGCTTGATACGACCTAACCTAACCTAACCTAACTTAAATCAGCCCAACACATCCTAATCCAACTTAATCCACCCAATCTACCCTAAATTAGCTCAATCCAAAGGAAACCTAACCTAACCTTACCTTACCTTACCTAACTTAACCTAACCCAGTACTAATTTCCCTCACATCTAAGAAACGTTAATCGTACTGGTTGGGTTAGATTTGGTTAAATTAGGTATCCTGAAAATTTGGTTAGATTAGGTTAGGTTAGGTTGGACAGAAAATATCTCTGGTATTAGGATATTCAAATCTAATCGTCCGCTACCAATATCTCTCTAAACATTGACCAATAAAAATGTAAGTCTTATTTTACTTGAAACTTTATAAGATGGCTGGGATAGATTCTTGGGTCGAGTGTCATTTAGCGATATAACTCCACCCTAAAAATGCCTCTCATGTCGGCCGTGTTAAAAATCGCGTATATTGCTTTTCCCGAATCTCTTGAGGACGATGGCTTACAGAAAGTTTCCATCTTCAAGAGTCAAGGGGTTAAACCATTGCTCCCAGAGAGTAAAAATAAATAAATCTTCCTCATAGGGCTAAAACATCGTCCTCAAAGGGTTAAAACATTGTCGTCAAAGGGTTAAACCATCGTGCTCAAAGGGTTCAGCCATCGTGCTCAAAGAGTTAAAACATCGTCGTCAAAGAGTTAAACCATCGTCGTCAAAGAGTTAAACCATCGTGCTCAAAGGGTTCAGCCATCGTGCTCAAAGAGTTAAACCATCGTGCTCAAACAGTTAAAACATCGTCGTCAAAGGGTTAAATCATCGTCGTCAAAGAGTTAAACCATCGTGCTCAAAGGGTTCAGCCATCGTGCTCAAAGAGTTAAACCATCGTGCTCAAACAGTTAAAACATCGTCGTCAAAGGGTTAAACCATCGTCCTCAAAGGGTTAAACCATCGTAATCAGAGTTAAACCATCGTCGTCAAAGAGTTAAACCATCATCCTCAAAGAGGTCAGCCATCGTCATCAAATAGTTAAACCATCGTCGTCAAAGATTTAAACCAACGTGGTCAGAATTAGACCATCGTCCTCAGAGTTAAAACGACGTCGTCAAAGGGTCAAACCATCGTCATTAGAGTTCAACCATCGTTATCAAAGAGTTAAACCATCGTCGTCAGAGTTCAACCATCGTCATCAGAGTTAAACCATCGTCATCAGAGAGTTAAACCATCGTTCTCAAAGGGTTAAACCATGGCCATCAAAGAGTTAAACCACCATCCTCAGAGTTAAACCATCGTCGTCAAAAAGTTAAACCATCGTCTTCATAGGGTTAAACCATCGTCGTCAAAGAGTTAAACCATCGTCGTCAAAGAGTTAAACCATCGTCGTCAAAGAGTTAAACCATCGTCGTTAAAGGGTTAATTCTTGATGATATCCCATTAAAACTACACAGAAAAAAAAACTCCCCTTCAGTATCCAGTGATCCGTAATGCATTCTGGGTATTACTTTACCTTTCATATTGACGATTATAACTAACCCTATTTAAAACCTTCCTTGTCAGTGTTTATTTAACCTAACGTGACAGTCCTGAGGCTTAACCTGAGGGAATCTCTTGATATCTGATCGTGCGTGGTGGGATTTTTAAGTTGTTTGTGTATGTGCAGGTATATAGGGATTACATGAAGATTAGGCACCCTGGCTTATTTTACCTGGTGATTAAAACGCACATATTCTAGCTTGTTTGGGGGGAGGGGGGGTTGGTTATATTCGTGTTGGGGTGCCTGATATTCATGTGATCTCTCTCTCTCACAGATTATTTCACCTGATGTTTTAGCACCTTAATTCTAACTGGGGGGTAGGTTAGGTTAGCATTAGGTTTAATCTTGAAGCAAACTAAACTAGGGGAGCTAATCCCTCAGGTAATTCCATCTTTTGCCTCTAGTTGTAAAGGTGATGATAATACTGTTAAGATTTATGTCTGTACTTCAACAATTGTGGTCTGTAATGTCGTACACAGACCAGTCCAGACAGTATGTAACAACCATTAGAAATTATGAAAGAAACCTCATCTCATTCTGTCATTGTGTGGGTGTGTACGTGGACTTTGTGATGAAAGGATACTGAGAATGGGCCAAGTTTCTGATGGAGGGGTCAGTAGTGGTGCCTAAGACGAACAGCGTCACAGGTGGTAATAACAGGAAGCGACGTGGAATATCTACGACTGCTTGTATGAGCGGGCGAAGACTCTATGTTTATCCTCAAACATATCGGGTTGGCAGACGGCCCACTCACCCTGCCTGACACCGCCCTCTCTCCCACACACCCTCGCTACTCCCTACATTATCTTCACGTTCTCTGAAGTTCTTTTTATCCGCAAGCGTTTAAGGGAATGTGAGGTGTGCCACAAGAGGGTGTGAGGTAATGTTAGAGCCAGGTTATAGAGAGAGGCTGGTGTTGCAGCTTCCTCACTACCTGCTCACAACATGGCAACCTGCCCAAATACGCCACAGTTGCCACTTTTTGTTTATTTCGCATGTTTTTGCGACAAAGTCAGTAATTCGGGCTACTTACACCCTTTAGTGTTCAAGTAGATGATATGAGCGAGGTGTGAAGTTATAACCGGTCTCTTAATCGAAAAGTTGCCTTTGTGTTGTGGAGGAAATCACAAGTGGGCGAGGCTTTGTTGATGGCAGGGGTTTAAATTTGGACTTGGTGAATGTCATATACACAGCGGATCTCCCAAATACATATATGTCTATGGCATGTTGGGGGGAGGGGGAGGCTATAGGTGGTGTGGGGGGGGGGGTGTTAGCTTCTGATGTAGGTATGACTTATATCGCCATGTAGAGTCACGCAGTAGCGGCAGCAGCAGGAGTAAACACGTGCCAATTTAGGTTGACTGTATAGGCCATCCTGCCCAGTAATAGTTGCCAATATAACAAGTATGTAGCCTTGATCCTTGGGGTGTGCCAGACCAGTGCGCTTGTTTGTGTGTGTATGTGTGTGGCGCCATCACCACCCTTCACACAGGTAAAAAAAAAATATTGCTATCTTACATATTTATATAACACTAGTGATCTTAATTAAACATCATGTTACATTCGCTTGGAACGTCTCTCGCTTATTTCCCACTTGAGGGGTTATGTAGTGGGCCTTAGATCTGACCCAACCTACCTTCCACTCTGGGTCACTCATATTGCCTCGGGTTTTCACTCATACTACTTGTCTCCTTTTCAAAATGGCAAGCGGGTACCTTATCCTCGCCTCAGTGGTTGAACTGGAGAATTTTTCCCTGATTTGGCACAGGTAGCTGAGAGAGAGTGAGTGAGAGAGTGTGAGGGACGGAGGGCAGTATGGTAGCGCGTAGCCGGGCGCACTCGACGTCTTTCCTCTCATTCGGGCAGTTTTTTTCCTTCTTTCGGTCCAGCCAGAGGGGAACACCACTTCCGAATTTGGCACCATTGATGGAGGAAATTACTGAATAGGTGACACATGACTGGCACCGTGTAAATGGTGGCGGTGAGGCACTCGAGGTGGGTAAGGTGCAAGTGTTTGTCTGAAAGAGGCATTAGACGTGGGTGTTGGGTGAGGTGAACGATAGTAAGTGCCAACTTGGTGGTGGCACTCCTCTCCACCCAACCCATGCCAGGGGATGCCAGACCTTTGTTGATCATAACTCCACGATGGGGCCAGTCTGGTTCTACCTGCTCTACCTGTGCCACTAACCACGTAATTCTCTCCCTCCGAACCGCGGCGTTGTGGAGGCTGACGGCAGTGGATGTGTGTGTGTGGGGTGGTCATGACGCCTGTACCCCAGTTCTGTATGGTGCCGCCCATCTGCCTTCTCCTCCTCCACCTCACGCCTGCCTCAGCTGCTTCACCATCACCTTCTCCCAATCCTCCTCCGACTCTTCCTCGAACCAACAAGTGTATCGCCTTGGAAACTGCTGCACATTACAATAATTAGTTTTCGAGTGAATTGACACCTGAGGGAATGTGTCTGTCGGTGTTGAGTGAATTAAGTGACTCTTAATGGAATATTTACTGTTAAGTGAAATATTTGGAGGAAAAAACCTGATTCCTGAAATTTGATTAAATTCTTAATTAATGGAGTCCTTGATGGAATGTTAACAAGTAAAGGAAGTTATTGAACAAGTGATGGAGTATTTCGGTGTAGAGTGAATTAAACTGGCCATGTGCTTCTCGTACTGTACACATACAGATGTTAGGGTAAAAGTGATACAGAGCTTGTGTGTGGCGGCGACTACTGAGAAATTCACCTTCGTCACCAACTAAAGTGTATCCTTGTGAACGATATATGTTTATTATCAATATTATTATTATTATTATTATTATTATTATTATTATTATTATTATTATTATTATTATTATTATTATTATTATTATTAATGTTTTTATTATTATTTATTATTATTATTGAGTGATGCAATTACCGGTATCCAGTGAACTGACGAGGGGGTGGGGGAACTTTCGATATTTGGGAATTTTTTGCTTAGAATTTCTAATATTGAGTAATTTTATTAATGGCGCAAGTTTCGGTATTTAACACGAGTGAATTTTCGATATTAAGCCATTTAGGAAACTTTCAATATCAAGCAATTCTGATCATGTGATACTGACTTCCGGGACATATTTGTGTCACGAGTAAATAGATTCGTCGAATTTGTTGCAGTGGCGCCCTTGTTGCCTCGGCCCGACAGGAGGAGCGTAAACCAGCAGCGTATAGCGGAACAACAGACTGACGATGCTGACACCCTGACACCTGACACCCTGACACCTGACACCCTGACACCTGACTCCCTGACACCTCGCATATTACCAGAAAACAACACAAACCAGAATGACTTAATTTTTGCTTTTGTGGGAGAATTTTATTTACTTGTTGTGTTTAAATAATGGCGACCTATTGTGGAAGAATTTACTCCTGGAGGAGAGTTAGAAGGGAGGATAGTTAGGGGAGAGGAGAGTTAGGGGGAGAGGAGAGTTAGGGGGAGAGGAGAGGAGAGTTAGGGGGAGAGGAGGATTAGGGGAGAGAGGAGGAAGTTGGGGGAGAGGGAGGAGAGTTAGGGAGAGGAGGTTAGGGGAGAGGAGAGTTGGGGAGAGGAGAGTTGGGAGAGGAGGAGTTGGGGGGAGAGGAGGTTAGGGAGAGGAGGTTAAGGGGAGAGGAGGAGGTTGGGGAGAGGAGGTTAGGGGAGAGGAGGTTAGGGGAGGAGAGTTGGGGAGAGGAGAGTTAGGGGAGGGAGAGTTAGGGAGAGGAGTTGGGGAGAGGGAGTTGGGGAGGAGAGTTGGGGAGAGGAGGAGGTTGGGGAGAGTTGGGGAGAGGAGAGTTGGGGAGAGGGAGTTGAGGGAGAGGAGGTTGGGAGAGGAGGTTAAGGGGAGAGGGAGGAGTTGGGGGAGAGGAGGTTGGGGGAGAGGAGGTTGGGGAGAGGAGGTTAGCAGGGAGAGGGAGAGTTGGGGAGAGGAGTTGGGGGAGAGGAGAGTTGGGGGAGAGGGAGAGTTGGGGGGAGAGGAAGTTAGGGGAGTTAGAGGAGAGGGAGTTAGGGGAGGAGGAGGTTGGGGGAGAGGAGGAGGTTGGGGAGGAGAGTTAAGGGAGGAGGAGTTGGGGGAGAGGAGGTTAGGGAGGAGGAGGAGTTGGGGGAGAGGAGGTTGGGGAGAGGAGTTGGGGAGAGGAGGTTGGGGAGAGGGAGGTTGGGGAGAGGAGGAGAGTTGGGGAGAGGGAGAGTTGGGGAGGTTGGGGAGAGAGTTAGAGGGGGAGAGTTGGGGGAGGAGTTGGGGAGGAGGTTAGGGGAGAGGAGAGAGAGGATTGGGGAGAGGAGAGTTGGGAGAGGAGAGTTGGGGAGAGGAGGTTGGGGAGAGGAGAGTTGAGGAGGAGAGTTAGAGGGATGTCGGGTTGGGTTAGGGGCTATATATCAGAACCCATTTGACGTGCTGCCACCTACTATTTTATTCTAAATCTCACACACACACACACACACACACACACACACACACACACACACACACACACACACACGCACACACACACACACACAGACAAACTTACACGAATTCTTAAAGAATTGGCGTCACTTGAGCTAATTTACGCCTTGATAACTGTATTGCCGGGCGCTGCGTATACTGTAAGGCCAGGCAATAGTGTGTACAGTTTCAAGTGGTGGGAATCGGTAGCCGGGTTGTGAGGGCACCGTAACCTTGAGCAAGATAAGGGTTGACAAGATATACACAAACAATATAATAAAGGAAAAATGGATAAAAATCTTGCTGAAGTGTACCGTCGAGATTCTGTTGTTTGTGTTACGTCTCATTACAGCCATAACACTAAATAGGCGTCATAATTAAAGTCCTTTTAACTCGCATGTGTTTTGATTATTTTATTTTATTATGTTTAATTACAGGTAATGTGTGTATTAAGTAATATTTGTATTGATTACGAGTGGAGTTGAGCAATAGTGGGGTAAGACGTGGTGAAGCCGTGGTGGCCTGGTGAGGGTGGTGTTGACGTCGTCTCACCAGGACCGTGAGGTAGCAGTAGGGTGAGTCTTGTTACGTCACCCGCCAGATAACTTCAGCATAACAACAGATAAAGAGAATATGCAACGGGAGAATAACATGTTGGTATTTATAAACGCCGTGTGAGCGGTAGATAAGGGTGAGTGATAGTGGTGATAACAGTGGCTGGGCAGACACACACCCTCAAGTGTCACTCACACACACTCCTCCACCGCTGGGTACTGACGGGTTGTTGAGGTGCCCGGTGGCTCCTTCTGTAGAGTGCCGTGTTTCGTGATGTTCCTCCATAGTGAGCGTTACTCTTGGTGGTTCAGCTGGACGGGTTAAAGTGTCACTGACTTCAGGAACGAGTCATGCATTGTACAATAAGGATATTTGTGCTAAAGTTTTGGATGAATCTTCAAACGCCTCGCTGTGTGTGATACATCAGCCAAGGTCGTGAAGCAGCATCTCGTGGCGTTTTTTAAACCCAAAATGAAAGAGTGTAAAGTGAGTAATAACAAAAGGCTAAGCAACCAAGACCGTGTTGAGGAGACATTTAAAGGAGTAGCGGCGACTTGGTCGTGGTAAATCAAGAGCTCCTTCCAAATAAGGTTATCTCGGTGTTTTATCAGGGGTGATAGTGAGGCTCATCGGTGAGTATGAGCTGGGCGGTGTGTGGTGACACAGGTGCTTGACCAATACTCTTGCCACCCGCCGTTTATTACCCTAGTGAACCGTCCGTGAGTGTCTCCCCCGTGTCCAGGTGGCGGCCACCATGCCTGGCCTGGATGCCACTCCTCCAACATCTACACTGCATCTGTACAACTTGTTGGTTTGAGAGAAGTGATCGCTACTGGTATACAGCGACCCTTGCCCCGCCACACAGCCACAGGTGAGTGCATGAACGCTCTCTACGTCTTGTCTTGCATTTAGGGGGATAGTCATGTTATCAAACAGCTCCAGCGTTATGGGAGAGGCGTGAGTCGCTGTATAACACACTGACGGGGAAATACTTTTTACAGTTATCAAGTGACGGTATGTGATCCACTTCCTTTTGCACATTGTGTTAGTTATGTGTTAGATTTTAGTGACTCAATCAAGAGAAGTGTTTCTGAGGCGACAGAACCTAACAGAGAAATATTTGGTTCTTTCTTTTACAAGGACCACCATCTGGCTCTCTCTCTCTCTCTCTCTCTCTCTCTCTCTCTCTCTCTCTCTCAATATCCGCCTTTTTTATCAGCCGTCATTATTTTTTCCTCAGTGAAAGTCATTAGGGTAAAGAGGATTTAATATTTAAAAACTTCACTGAAATTTATCTTTATATTTTAGTTTATTTTCACAGTGTTATACCTCGTTATTAATGGTTATGAAAGTCAGCATTAACAAGCTATATGAATGAACTGAGCCATTAGTGAAGGCCAGATGTTGCCAAGTGTCCGGGGAATATTGGTCACAACTGTACGGCTCACAATAATCAGTTTAGTGTTTTATTTACTGTTCATTGTGGTGTTGATCTTATCGATGTTGGAGTTATGATATCAATACCACGATGGGTCCTTATCTGAGTGTTGACTTGGTAGTGTGTGTGGGGGGGCATTATATTATTATTAAACTTTAAATTCGGGCAAATATTCTCTTCTCTCCCAAGATGTCTATAAAATTTAAGAATATGGCATTATCTTGCTCCCAAACTACCTTCATGAGGAGTTCCCGCTAATGTCAATTCCTTCCTTCCTTCCTTCCTTCCTTCCTTCCTCAAACGGATAATCCTCCTCCTTCCTCCATGTTATTACCTTCCTTTGTCACCTGCACTTCCCCCATCAGTGCTCAAGAGGCTCAAGGGTTTATCTGTCTATCTGCCTGTTTCTCCTTATCCTCCACTTACGCTTTTTCCTTCCTCTCAGTGATCGGTCAGTAATTACAAGTTGAACAAAACTCGTTGGGAGATGACATTAATCTTCATAACACATCGTATCTCGGCTTATCGCGCCCGAACCCGCCTCTCTATCACTTCCCTTTTAGCTCTTGGGTCCTATTATTGCAAGCTCGGGAAATACCAGTCAGCCTCTTAATGGGTGACACTCACTTCTTCCATAGCTCAACCAAAGGCGCTCTCAAGCAACCCTGACTATAATCTTAAGCCGGTCGTAATATATATACAGCGCTCTTATCCCTTTACATCAGTGCTCGAGGGACTCAATTATGACTCACGAAAAATTATCTTTTAGTAAACTCGTCTCTGAACTTGGCATTATGGCGACTTGGTATATATGCTCACGTCTTGGCCTTTAGTTCCTCTTTTCCATCCTGTTTCTCACACCGTGTTTACAAAAATCCTCGTCCACTTTCACCTGGATTACTGCTCTCTGGAGACGTGTGGGTCGTGTTTATAATGTAATCTTGAATGAGTGGTGACCTGTGGTAGCAGGCTCGCCTCGCAACCAGATGGCTCCGGGTTCGATATATTCTGTACATTGCCTCTATGGGTGATTTGGCTTTGTAAGTTTGAAAAATATATATAAATCCTACTTACTGTATTGGCGTATTTATATCCAATGTTGACATAAATCCCTTAATCCCTTGAGTACGACGATTTAGTCCTCTGTGCACGATGACTTAATCCCTCGAGTGCGATGTGTGTATAGGTGTGTGTGTGTGCGTGTGTGTGTGTGTGTGTGTGTGTGTGTATAGGTGTGTGTGTGTATAGGTGTGTGTGTGTGTGTGTGTGTGTGTGTGTGTGTGTGTGTGTGTGTGTGTGTGTGTGTGTGTGTGTGTGTGTGTGTACAGTCAGACCATAAATTACGAGTATACTTTTACTCCGGTGTCGAACAATATGACAAACCGGCTAAATTTTCCGTACAAAGCTCTCGCATTGGTAGCCCTGCTGTATGAGTGACTGAGGTGAGTTAGTCTGTATGAGTCAATCTAGGTGAGTAAAATTATGACTCGCCCTGGTAATTCACCCTTTCTGTGAGTCAGTGTTGAGTCAATATTTGTGAGTCATCCAATTAAGTCAGTGAGGTGATGTAAGTATGTGAGGCTTCGGTCGGTGATAACATAAGACTTTCCTCGGTGGCGTCACTCGTGTGCGTCACAGCGTCACGCCTCCACAGTGTGACGTGAGGTGTGGTTTCCGTTGTTAGTGTGTATATGAAGGGTAATTTATGTTTAATTCGTGTGAGTGTATGTAATGTAAGTATGTCTGGACAAGGGTTTCAACGCCAATTCCCTCCCCACCGCCCCTCTCCAATCCTAGTAGGCTCTAACCTAACCTAACCTAACCTAACCTAACCTAACCTATGTATGTTTTATCAAGCCTACAGTGTACCTGCCGTCTAATTGGTACTACCTGTCTGACACCTTACCTGTGTGTTGGAGTTACGGTACTGCTGTGTGGGAGTCCCCCCCCCCCCTTCCTCAATGACAGTACACTAGTTTAGACATATGAAGTGTTGTTATCTAGATACCGGATTAAGGCCACATGACTCTTACACCCACTGAATGACCTGACCTGATACCACCTGATTATCTGATCCCCTGAATCTTCTTTAAGTCATTGTCCTGAGTAGAGAAGAGCACTTAATATCCCCGCTGAAATGTGACGTGGGAGTCTCTGAGTTATATACCTCTGAGCTATATACCTCTGAGCTATATACCTCTGAGCTATATACCTCCCTCACAATATCTAAAGTAGAGTTTCATGTAATTCTATTGTACCATAACAGAGAATTTGCTTTTAACTCCAGACCTGACCTCTGTCGACCAGGATGGATAGAACCTCACAAGATAGACTATATTACTGTAGTCGTTTTGAAGTTGGGTAATACCTCGATATGGAACGAGTGTTGTCAGCCCACCTCCCCAAAGTGGATCATTAGCATTCTGTCAACACCACTTATAAATAAACTTAAGGAAGCTTATATTTGAGAGCTGTGGTGTGTGTGGACTCCGCAGAACACCTGAGAAAGGAACTCCAGTAATCAGAAGCACAGCACCTATCTCGAGAGGCGTCAGGCGGATAGAACAGTGGGGGCGAGAGTTACTGTGGGTTAACTCCTGAAAATCATCTTGGCCGACGAGGCAAAGACAGGGGTTGGTGTTGTTGGTTCATGTGACGTCACGTTCTCGTCCAGGCTTCTTCATTCTAGTGTCCTTGTTGGTAAACTTTTGCCTCCAGGACGTTGGTGGCCATAGGAACCATAGGTCTTCTTGATCTAGTGTAAAACAAAGGCTAAGTGTTGTGTTAATACGCCAGTAACCTAGTGAAGGACGCCCGGCCGTGAAGCTATAAAGAGATCGCCATAGGCTTAGTAAGAGTAATTAATGACCCATGAGCCCTATCTATTTGAGCACTATGACGTGACCCCTTTGAGTACATCATCATCGTACTCGGGGTAAAGGTTATCGTAGTTGAAGGACAAACTAAATCATTGATGTACTCGTGCGTCTCTGTGTATGCAACTATCTAATTCCAACTGGTCCTTCATGATGGCAACGCACAGTAACTCGGTGGGTTGAAAGATGCACAAGAGACGAACATCCAGGAAGCAGCCGTGTGCGGGAATAAATACTAGTGAATCTAGCGTCGTGTTATTCCTGGAACGGGAGTAATCCATATCTGGGGGGCCTTGTTGTGGAAGGGGAGTACCTTCACGGGACATATATTGTACATCAGTAAGATTGAAAGGGAAATGTGTGGGTGTAATTGTTCCTATTCCACGAACACACACACACACACACACACACACACACACACACACACACACACACACACACACACACACACACACACACACACACACTGGAGCTGCTATACTTTCAAAGCCAAATGTCAAGATTAAAACTCTGAGAAGTTGTGAAGTGGCTCCTCCTCGAGTGAAGTGTAGTTTTATGTTGCTCTGAGGTGTGGTGGTTGTGGTGCTCCCTAGTGGCCACTCTCACACCCACCTCTCACCACTTATACTCCCCTTCATTCTTACAGTGACAGTTTTTAAGATGATTTTATTCAAACTGTGTACTTGGTGTTTCTACGAGATGAAAAGAGTGAGGTTGTTCTTGAGTCGAGTGTGAGGATGGATTGTGAGGTGTGTTTGAAGAGTGTGTAAGGGTCTTCTGTTGGCATCTCCACAGACTGACTTGGTTCTCACCCAACCTGATTATTAGGACTTCGGGTCAAAGTACTAATGGAGCCTTATTCTGATGGGCCCTAATCTTAATAGGCTTGTGAAGGTTAGGTTAGGTTAGGTTGGGTTAGGTTAGGTTGGGGTTTGGTTAGGTTAGGTTGGGGTTAGGTTAGGTTGGGGTTTGTTGAAGGACTGGGGCCTATTGTTGTTGTTTTGTTGGGCCCTTCCACACTTTATCACTGCTGTAGTTTATCTTTCTCGCTCTCTTTGTCCTTCCTCCTCCTCTACTTCCTCTTCACCACCACCTCTTCCTCCTCACCACCACCTCTTCCTCCTCACCACCTCCACCTCTTCCTCCACACCCCCACCTCTTCCTCCACACCCCCACCTCTTCCTCCACCCCACCTTTTCTTCCTCTCCACCTCCCTCTTCCTCCCACACCCCACCTCTTCTTCCTCCACCCCCACCTTTTCTATTTCCTCCTCCCCCACTCTTCCTCCACCCCCACCTCTTCTTCACCTCCACCCCCACCTTTCTTCCTCACCCACCCCCCACCCCCTCTTCCTCCACACCCCCCACCTTTTCTTCCTCTTCACCTCCACCTCTTCCCCTCCTCCACCACCTCCCACCTCTTCTTCCCACAGCCTCACCTCTTCTTCCTCTCCCACCACCTCCACCTCTTCCTCCACACCCCCACCTCTTCTTCCTCCACACCCCCACCTCTTCTTCCTCCACACCCCCACCTTTCAATCAGTCACTTGTATGGGAAAGTTTAGGTCGAGAGGATATTGTTTTTGCCAATTAGTTTCGCCATTACCACTTTCTTGTCGGGTATCCGTGACTGAATGATGTTTAGCTTCCGGGAGGTTAATGGGAACCTTTCTTTCTCTTTATAAAAATAATGTGAGTTGACGAAATCGATCTTGTAGGAGAAAGGACTTTGGTACAAATGGCATTGTTAATTTAATGCGGAATGACATCAGGAATAGCAGCCTCAAGCCATCTTCTAAACCCGGGGATATCTTACCGCGACGCCTATACACTCGCCTGTGCCCCGTCCGCGTCACCCTGTTACGCGTAAGACGGCTCGGAGCACCAGACCTCAGGCGGAGTTCACAAGGGCGTGCCTAACATGAGAGCAGCGGTAAAGAAATTCGCTTATCTCCGTGCCGGGTCACGACATGGGGATGAACTATCTTGATCCTGTCGTGCCCTGTTGGTGAAGGTAAAGTGGGATGGTTCTCTCCTCCGGGATGATGGGATAAGATGCTTCTCTCACTGGGAAAATACACACACACACACACACACACACACACACACACACACACACACACACACACACACGACACCTCTGTTATAGCTGGATGCTTCAAGGACCTGTCAGAGCTACAAGGTCCCAAGGGCTTAACTTGGGAAGGGAGGTTACCTAGGGACTATCGTCATCATAGAGGCCAGTGTCACGAGAAGTAGCTGCACGGGAAAGTACTTCTTTGGGGAAGTTTTTGTGTTGGTGCTATCGAGAGAAGTTTCTTTTTTCTTTTACGATTTGTAAAGTAAATCAACCAAACCTTATATAACATATCCTAAACAATCCTAACCGGGACCTTACCCAACAAAACCCTTACCTAACCTAACCTAACCTTACTCACCGTTTATGAGGCCATGTACCAACCCATTTGGAGGACTGGGTTCCTTGCATGTACCCCCAGCCCTTGTACGTACCAGGTGCCCTTACTGAAGATGGAACAACCCTTAGGTGGTGAAGCATCCTACTAGTGTGTCGTGGTGGCGACAGCTGGTATATTTCAGTTGAGGGGAGACATTGCGGTATTTTATCATGTCATAAAAACAGATCACACAATATATTCAACTCAAACGATAACATTTTTCTCAGTGGGGAAAATATTCCATCTGTGGCACACATCTCCAGCGAGGCACTACCGTCCTCTCAGCCGTGAAAATCATACATTTTTCCGAGCAACACGAGGGTATAACACGGCACAGACATAAATAAAATGTTGATAGAGGAGGCGATCAGTGCGCCTCAATACATGTAAATTTGCCCCAGAATATGAGGAAGACACTGTGAGGTTAGGTTTGGTATCAACTAAAACTCGCGGGATTAAGATGTTAGAGGGTGACCGGAGACAGTACAGTAGGTAGGTCAGTTTATTATTAAAGAGGAGTCACCATTAGTGGAAAGTTGCCAAAACGCCCCCCCCTCCTCCCTCTCCTCTCCCCCCCACACACACACACCAAAAAAAAATTGGATAAAATAGCCACGCGCTATTTATTTGGGTAATTAATAGGAACATTTATACATATATCACTGTATTTTTTCTCTTTTTGCATATAGTATTTAATGGCAGGTAACCTAACCTAACCTATACACGGGCACCATCACCCGAGATTATAGACTAAAGGTAATTAAAATGGGTTACGTCATCGTGAATTTCCAGACAAAATAATAATTAAAAAAAAAAGTTTATAAGTGTTTAACTTTTTCTGCCAAATTTAAGTATGAATCAATGGTAAAATATATAGCCAAGAATGTGCCAGGTATTTAACCCTTTGAGTACGATGACTTAACCCCTTGAGTACGATGACTTAACCCCTTGAGTACCCATTTATTGTGTATAATTACTGTATTCGTGTGTGTGGGGAGGGGCGGGGGGCACCTGTCATGACCCGGGTTCGAATCTTTGGTGGGGATATATCGGTATGTATAATTCTTCTCCTGTTAGATGCTGCAGTGAAACCTATTGGTACTCAAATGAACCCAGTGATACCCACCCAAATGAACCCAACTGCTACCCACCCTAATGAACCCAACTGCTACCCACCCAAATGAACCCAACTGCTACCCACCCAAATGAACCCCGACGAACACCTCACCGTACCAGCCGACACTCACGTCTCATCTATTACCCACAGGTGTGAGCTAACTGAGGCGACCCTACTGTAACACCTGTCAACACACACCTGAGGAATAGGTCTTGTGTGTACGTCTTCACCTCAACCCGTCACCACTCGGTAGGTGCTAATTTACATACCTGTTTTTTTTCTTATATATTAATTCACCCTTTGAGGACGATGGTTTAAGTTATAAGCCTTTGAGGACGATGGTTTAAGTTTTAAGCCTTTGAGGGCGATGGTTTAAATTTTATCCCTTTGAGGACGATGGTTTAAGTTATAAGCCTTTGAGGACGATGGTTTAAGTTATAACCCTTTGAGGACGATGGTTTAAGTTTTAACCCTTTGAGGACGATGGTTTAAGTTTTAACCGTTTGAGGACGATGGTTTAAGTTTTAACCGTTTGAGGACGATGGTTTTAGAAGTTATAAGTCGGTAGGTGCTAATTTACATACCTGTTTTTTTCTTATATATTAATTCACCCTTTGAGGACGATGGTTTAAGTTATAAGCCTTTGAGGACGATGGTTTGAGATACCGCTTCCTTTGAGGACGATGGTTTAAGTTTAACCCTTTGAGGACGATGGTTTAAGATTATAAGCCTTTGAGGACGATGGTTTAAGTTATAACCGCTTTGAGGACGATGGTTTAAGTTGTTTAACCCTTTGAGGACGATGGTTTAGTTTAACCGCTTTGAGGCGATGGTTTAAGTTTTTAACCGTTTGAGGACGATGGTTTAGAATTATAAGTCTTCGAGACTGATGGTTTAAGTTATAAACCTTTGAGGACGATGGTTTAAGTTATAAGCCTTTGAGGACGATGGTTTAAGTTTTAAGCCTTTGAGGGCGATGGTTTAAATTTTATCCCTTTGAGGACGATGGTTTAAGTTATAAGCCTTTGAGGACGATGGTTTAAGTTATAACCCTTTGAGGACGATGGTTTAAGTTTTAACCCTTTGAGGACGATGGTTTAAGTTTTAACCGTTTGAGGACGATGGTTTAAGTTTTAACCGTTTGAGGACGATGGTTTAAATTTTAACCCTTTGAGGACGATGGTTTAAGTTTTAACCGTTTGAGGACGATGGTTTAAGTTTTAACCGTTTGAGGACGATGGTTTAAGTTTTAACCTTTTGAGGACGATGGCTTAAGAGTTATTACGCATAATATTGGTGTGACATTCAAGATTAATAGTTAAAGGAAATAATGAAATTGTATAAAATCTTAGGTCGTCGCAGGTAAGGTGTGAGGGGGGGGGTGGTTCAGGTGAATGAGGGGGTCTTTAGTAGTTTGAGTTTTGGCAATTTATCCTTATTTTAAGACCACCCTGATGACGTCACTTGGCGGGGAGAGAGTCATCAGCGGTATTAATAGCGAGGTGGGAGCCAAAACGGTGCTCGCTAAAAATAAGTCAGGGCAAAATATTCTCCTTCAAGCAACAGGGACAGATTCTTCCCCAGCACATACCATGGAGCTTACCTGCCTGCCTTTATCCCTCACTTAACTTAACCTAACTTTAACTTACCTTACATGGCTTCAACCTATACCAAACCTAACTTAACTTAACCTTACCTTACTTGGCTTCAACCTATACCTAACATAACCTAACTTTACCTTACCTTACTTGGCTTCAACCTATACCTAACCTAACTTAACTTAACTTAACCTAACCTAACTTTACCTTACCTTACTTGGCTTCAACCTATACCTAACATAACCTAACTTTAACTTACCTTACATGGCTTCAACCTATACCTAACCTAACTTAACTTAACTTAACCTAACCTAACTTTACCTTGCTTTGCATCAACCAATACCTAACCTAACCTAACTTAACCTAACCTTACCTTACTTGCCTTCAACCTAACTTAACTTAACCTAACCTCATACAACCTAACGTATTGCAACCCTACCCTATCTGTGCATTTAACCTAACCTAAACTATGGCGGGAGCATAGAAATACTTAAATAGGACATTTTTTTGTTTATTTCTCAGTAACTAATACAAGAATCATCATACAGCTTAAAATCTATAATTATCACGGAGTTACCACTGTCTCACGCGTGTCCATATGAAAAAAAAAATCTACTACAGGAAAGAAATAAAGAGTTGTCCCGCGCGGTGTGTAGCACAGATGGGATGAAGACTTGAAAATACCTCCCTGTACCAAGGATTTTTTTACCTCCATCTGTTTATCTTTTTCTGCATCTACAAATTATAAACACGTTAACTTGAACAAAATCAGTAGACTTGGTGTGTGGCTGTACAGTATAGTACCCTGCACCACATGTCGGTCATCATCTGTGCTGTGTGATGAAGGGGACTTACACATAGCAGCATCCTTATTTATTAAACTTTCCTTAAGGGATCATATGAGAGGTTCACTGTTGGGACCATACTTTTCTACAGCTCTTATGTACACTCGGTAAGGAAAAATATTTGTACAATTATGGTGTGAAATAAGATAACACCACGGACGAAGATTTTTTATGAACACCCTAAGGCGTACCTCTCATTGGTTCCCCTGCGTGTGGATTGTTCAATTCGAAATTTATCGGAGCTCTCATGAAAGATACTTTTTTTTTTACCGAGTGTACGTGTGTGTAAGGAAAAACGTTTATATTGTGTTCGTTTAAACAAAATTGCACGCAAGCAAAACACGCACGCACGCAAAACACGCACGCACGTCGTAAAGAGTATCATGCCAACTTTGAACTTATTACAGCACCCCCTTAATTCAGACCTAATCATCATCCTCGGGAAATTTACACTGGTCTCATCTTTTATCCAAATTTCTTGATGTAAATATTATATCATTACGGCACAAAGACACGGAACGCATCCCTCGCCGCACCACAACCACGTTCAATGGGCCGCACCTTTGAGGGATCCAGAGATAATGGTGTTTACCTAAAGAATCGGGCTTTTCATGACGTAAGTAGATATAAATGAGACCAAAAGCTACTTATTCCCGGTTCGCATTAACTGGTAGCTTCCCTGGAGATAATTTTTTCCTGGTTTTAATTGGCTGCTTAAGCATAAGAAAAAGACTTTGATATCGTGTAATTTGATGCTGCTAGATAACTGGGTCACGTTGACAGTGTTCTTACGGTGTAACTTGTCTGTTCTCTAAGCTTCTAAGTTACACAAGTCACAGGTAATTCTTGTCTATTCTTGGTTCAGATTATAATGTTCACACAAAGGCACTATATTATTTTTCTTATTGTATTACCCAAGCTAGCGGTGTGAAGAGGTCATGCCTCTTACAGTTAGTGCATGAACTTATCTAGTTAAAGAAGTCTTTGTAATTTTAATGTTATTTTGGGCTGGCGCTTTTATTTGTAACACAAGCAGTAAGATACAGTCTTGCGCCTTCAATGAAGAAGAATATTCATCGTAGGAACCACTGTGAGTGCTTGAGGGTCGTCTCTCTTTCTCTCACACTGGCTGTTTGATGTTGTTGAAATGAAGTCATCACCTGGCGGGTGTCACAGGCGGCGGCGGAGGGAGTCCGTCTTTTGATGCTCACCGCGTCACTCACTACTCGCCTGATGCTCATTCACTCTCATTTTTTGTTGTTCGTTATATGATAAAATCTACATCACATGACGCTGGTGTGCTGTTATATATATATATATATATATATATATATATATATATATATATATATATATATATATATATATATATATTAGGTTAGCTTATATATTACATATAATTATGTGAGCGCTCGTCCGCACACCTTATTAATGAAGTATTTCCCAAAGGAACCTTTTCCCGGGACACCTGTTGTGAGTTAATGAATTTTAAAAAAACTTACAGGAAATTCAGGGTGAATTTTATTAATATAATATTGTAAAGTTTTATATTTATAATGTTATCACCATTCATTTATTTTATTTTAAATTTGTTATTGTTACAGTATCGACTCTGTTGTTCAGTAGAAGGGAATTTGCCTTGGAAGCGAAGTCTCGGGTTCAATATCTTAGTCTAAGTGGAGTGCAGACTTGCCTCCTGTACAGCCTTCGTGGGAGGAAGACCAACACCATGGTTGTGTTAATGGCCGCCTCGACCTTCTAAAATAATATAATACAAAATAACAAGACTCGGGGTTCTGTACATTGATATTGTCTTTAAACTGATCCTAAATCAACGTGTCTACTTAAAAAGAGTCTCATTGTCCATTTTATTGAGGACATTCACTATCTGCCTTACCTAAATTTATCCAGTTTTAATATGTTCTAAAAATTCACACTTACGATAAAAACTTGACGTAAGTAGCAAAGAGAATACAGTCCCTGGTGGTGGTGGCTGACGCGTGACGTGAGCTCTGGAGTGTGACTGTGCAAGAAAAGTTTTAAGGACGGAGGCGCTCTGTTGACACACTTACTACTGTATTTCCCCAAAGAAAACGTGTGTCTGTGTGTGTGTGGGAGGGGGGGTTAGAATGCATGTGTTTGTTAGTTGTGTGTGTGTGTGTGTTAGGCAGGAAGGTGTGTAGGCGTGCAGATACGGCTGCTATCATTAGCCTGTGATGTTTACACGTACACTTTCAGGTATGTTGTGGTGGGGAACTTCTACCTCGATATTAACAAAAAGGAGAGTCTGGCAGGTACATATACGTGATACGCCGCTCAGGGAATTATTTAAATTCCTTCAATTTAGTAAAACATCAGTCTTGAGAATTTTAATATTGTTTGCGTATAACATTTTTTTGGGCTGGAACCTTGATTGTTGTTTTACTCTATACTAATTCTTATATTTAATTTGTTGTTTTTATATGTTTGGTTTAATTGATCTCAGGTATTTGGATTGGGAATGACCATCAGGGCCTGTTAGATATTTTAAAGGGGTGTGTTATAACAAGTCATTACACCGGTAACACGGCCACCACCTGTCGCGGCTCCTCCCTCATTATCTCCACCACCTCTTCCACACCTCTCACTTCTCCTCTCTTCCGTAACCACTTACTTTTCCTTCCTCTCCTCACCATCTCCTCCGTAACCATCACCTCCTCATCCCACCTCCTGCTCCTCCTACCGTCCTCTTCTCTCCTCGTCATCCTCCCTCACCAACTACCTCCTCCTCCTCTTCCTCAACTCACCATCACCTCCTCCATCACCA